ATATGGGCTCCAATTTCGTACATCCTTTTCTTTCTCTCTGATACCGGCTTCGATCATTTGTAATTCCTGTGCTAATCTTTCTCCTGCTGTAAAAGTTGCTCCTTGTGTGGCAAGCTAAATGAATTTTTATATTAATAATATTTTATTTAAAAACAATAAACAATTTAAAATAAAATTGAACAGTACCTTCAAGTCATTGATCTTTTTCTCTAGATGTTTTAATTGTTGTTTTACCTTCTGTGATTCAATGATTAAACTAAAATAAATTTAATTATGATAGTTAAATTTTTAAATAATTAATAAAAATTATATATTAAAGATTAACTTACTCTTTAGACATGCATTCTGATCGTGAAAGTTGTGTGTGTGTTGAGGAGTCAAATATATTCCGACCGAATGTAATGTAATTATCTCCAAAACCACTATGATTAATAGATTGTATTCCTCCATTTGCACCAATAGTAGCATAAGCTATAATTAAAATACATTTTTTTTTGTTTTATCAAATACATTTTTCTATTGAACTTTATATTTTCTATTTTTTCTTTTTTTTTTTTTTCTATATGTGATTTCTTCATACTGATCATACTTACGTTGACTACCATAATACCAAGATGTAATAGAATTTGTTGTTGGCATATGTCGATAAGCAGATATTGCAGGAGTTGCTCCTCCATCTGCATAAAAATTAGTAGATTGTACCCCATTTGTAGATCTAGAAAGAAATTGTTTTCATTATAATTTAATATCACATATTAATTTTATCAATGAATTATTACCTGATTAAATTTTTTGATAGTTTAGAAATTGGTCCATATTTACTATTAGTTGATGCATCAAATGGTATAAATTCATCATCAAATAGAATGGGATCTGTGCACCGAAAATTGTTATTACAATTCATATTTGTTGGAGGAACCATGGGACTATTTGGTGTGTTTGTCCATATAGAGAAATTTGATGATAATGTATCTCCTTGCATGTCATAATTCTATGAACAAAATAATAAAGAAAGATAATGAAAAATATATTTCAAATTTTCAATAATTAAATAATCGTACCGTTTTCATCTGCGGCACTTGTTTGTTGACAATTGTTTCGAGCTGATTTAATATTTCCATTCTGCGTTGCAATAACATCGCTAATGTTTTAGCAACTGTCCGTTGCTATAATATATAAGAACAGTTTAATGTGTATTATATAAAAATATGTAAGAATATTTTAATATATACAGTAAAAACTACTAACATGTAAAGAAAGTTATGTTACCTTTTTAGTATTAGAAATTCCATTTGTTATATTAGACGAGATCTGCGATGAATCCCAAATACTAAGATTAGGTGCAGTATAATCAACAGGTGTATTAGGCATAATGTAATGAGAGCAATGTACGTCCATATTTTTTGTCTGTACCATAGGTAACATTCCTTGAGCAGATGGTAGCATATAATTCGTCAATGATCCAATAAAATTGTTTTCATTTGTTGGATTATGATGTTGTATTGGATTAACTTTATTCATAGAATTAAAATCTGAAATAAAAATAGCTGTCGTTTCCCTTAAAGTTAATTGTTTTATATAAATACTTACTTTCTCTATGAGTATTGTCATGTGGTTTTATGGAATGATAAAATAAATCGTCATTTTGTTTAAATGTCTTATTATTTGATCCAGTAACCGATTTGTCTGTTTTCACATCCAGATTATTCGTTCCAGATAAACTTGTTCTGAGACTTAATTTCCGATTTTTTGATCTATATCTAATAAAAGAATAAATAAATATATATATTAACATAGTATTTCTTTATATTGAACATATATGTGTATACTTACTTATCTAGTTCCATGTCACTATGAGCAAATGTACAATTAGTAGACCTAGGACAAGACCCTCTAAGTGCTAGATCTCGACACATGCTCACTTTGTATTTTGGTTGGCCAGGACCTACATTATGAATACCATCTTGTGTTTTTCGATTACCGTGTTGTTGAATGAACTCTACTAATGCTGCAACTACGGTTCTAACAGCTTCTAATGCTGCACGACATTCTCCTAATGTTGGAGATTCAGTTTCTATAATGAAATTAATAGATTAAACGTATCAAATATATTTATTTAATAAAATTTTTCAATATAACAAATTATACCTGGGCTAGGATCTATTGCAGCTAGCAGTTCTAATTGTGGTCTTAGGCTACTTAATTGTCCAGGATCAGGAGTACGTTGAAGAGCAATAACCAATTCTTGTACACTTTGAGCAAAAGATTGTGGAGTTTGAAGTTTATCTATAATACTTTGCATATGAGATTTATGACTTGTATCTCCATATAACAATGCAGACCACTGATCAGGTGCTATTCTTAAACCAGCTTCAGTCGCAATTTGGACTATTTGAGCATCATGCTCTCTTCTTAATGCTTCATATGTTCTGAATTCTTCTTTTAATTGCATCAATGACGAATCTCCTTCTCGTTTAGATACCTAATGAAATATTTTATTTAGATAATAGTTCTAATATCAAACAAAACGAAAGTGATGAATACTCCTTACCTTAAAACAACTTGCTCTATACAACAATTGGACAACATGTCCTATACTGGTTTTAGATGCTTGAGGAAAATGTGATTCTAAACGTTGAACTACAAACATGACTAACACTTTCCTAGAAAGAGCAGATCCATCTTCCAAAGCCAAGAGAACAAGTTTTAATACTTCTTCTTGCATTGCTGATAAAAAAGGGATTATTATTATTACATATAATTTAATTTTTATTTTTTTATTATTATTTTATGCTAATGGTTTATTAGATTTGCTTTATAATAACATACCTGGCCCAAGAAATTGACATCCCCGAGCCCGTACAGCAGCCCACAAATTAGCATTGAGTTGTTGTGGATTTTGATGTTGTAATATTAATTCTGTAACTGATCTTTCACCTAAACTTCTAGCTGCTCTTACTGCACGTGCTCTTCCTTCTGGTTCAACCAACTGGCAACCTACCAAAGTTACTAATTTTCTTTGCATAGGTCGAGAAACAAGTCCCACACCTATTATTTAATACAAAATAGTCACAGATTATGAAAAATAATATTCCAAATTATTTAAATATTTAATTCTTTATATTACCTGTAGTTAAAGAAGGATTTGTCTGACATGGTTTGAGATATAGAGCAAGTTCTTCAATACAACGTTTAGCAACCAAATAATTAGTATGATCTTCAGGTGGTAGTAATTTCTGATAAGCTGATGCTACATTTGTGGAAACAGGATTTCCCACTAATTGTAATAGAGCTTCATTTACTGGTAATCTTTCTATTTCTGTATTAATAATACTCTAAAATATATTATGTAAATTTACTATGTAAATATATGATGTAAATTTAAAACTTATAAAAAGAGATAATTTTATATTCAATATTATAATAATAGAAATTATGTAACTTTTAATATGTAAAATTAAAATATAATGTTATATTCTATTATATATTTGGTTAAGGTTATTGAAAATATATAATTCTACTTGTACAGTAGTAATAATATTATCTACCTGATCAAAAGGACATTGTTTACGATGTAAATTTGCAAGGCACGTACGACATATGGTATGACCACATCCTAAGGATATTGGGCCACGTATAGCCACATCAAAGTCATGACAGCAAACTGGACAAGAAAGAAATTCAGTCCACTGTGGTGCCTGTATTGGCATTCTGTAACAAAATTATATTAAACAATTCCTTGAATTCTTAATTTCATAACTTTTTGCAATACCATTATTTTTAAAAGATATTACAGATAAATTTTATATTACTAATTAAAAAATTCAGTTTACATTTTTCATATTTTTTCACTTATATTTAATCGATAATTTTAGACCTAAAATTTGCAAAATCGACTACTGCGTTTTTACGAAAAATATTTCGTATTAAAATCAATTAATTTTAGTAGCTATGGAAAATATATAAATTTAGCAACTAATTAAACTAAATTTGATTAATTAATATATTTATAGAAGCAATAATAAACGAAAAGGAAACTTCCTTTCGATTGCAAAACATTTATTTATGGATATAAATCTTTTCGAAACAATAACGTTGGCTTATCAATTGTTTTATATACGATGCTTTGGAACATTTTATTTAGGATATAGTTTACATTTGCCTTAAAAAAGGTATATAAAAAATATTTTAAACTTATATTATTTTCAGCACGCAATTAGATCAAACTTTTTTAATCGCTATCGCTATTACTTTCGTATCTGTCGTACGTCTGCTCTATATAGCATCAGAAAAACGATATCTACTTTTACCACGCGGAAATATGTCGATGCAACGTATTGTTATTAAAATAACGAATAATTAAAAAACTCACCTCGTTATTGCCCTCACAAAACATCACATTAACTACTCAGTTACTTCGCACATAGTTCTGCCATCGAAGCAAGAACAGATGAATCACAAATAGTAAGATGAGCTCAGCACGATATTCCTCACGTATACTTTTTTACCTCACTAGCATTCATGACGAAAACAATCTAGAAAAGTGACCTTCCAATTTTCTTCGATAGAGTGCGCTATAAACAACTTAATATCAAATTTTCAAAATTATATAAATCAATTTCAATTATATATTCAAATATTGATAATTTAAATTATAATCCATATATTTCTTGTTATAATTACTATTTGCTTAAACTTAAATATTATTTACCATTATTTTATACAATTTATATAATTACCATAAAAATTGATACATTCTTTACCATAAAATAATTAAATTTTTGATTATTTTAGAAATTAGACTTTATCTATAATATTAAACTAAAAATTTAAATAAATTTAATATATGAAGTGTAAAAAAGTATACAGGCCACTGATTGGTCATCATACTATCTTTATTATATCAATATACCATATTCATCTGTTTCAGATAATCATAATCGAGTTTCATATCTACTAAAATTATAAATGTACAATTTATTTCTCTTGGTTCACTGTTCTGAAATATATTACATACTGACATTACCTAGTTCCTGGATATGAAAACGTGTGTAATGTGAAATGTGAACATGTATTCCTTCCATTCAAGATTCGTATAAGCTTTAACGTAACAAATGAAGCTTAATTGTAATTGTTAATCAAAATCGTGAAATAAATAATACAGCACTGACACGTTGGCTCAATAAATTCTAGTTAAACATGATACCGCCAAAGGATAAACCGTTATGGTGTGATATCGCATTTCGTATGTTAATGAATACCGTTTCATATCCTATTGAATACGGTAAAGTTTTAATACAGGTAAAATATGTACAATGGATAAATTACCTGGAAACTAAACGTTCATTGGAAGTTTATAATTTTTATTTATAACGTAATAGATCGGATATGAACCGATTCCACCAAGACCGACAACTACTTTATTTGGAAAACCGGCTTTAGCTTTACCTAACATTTTTCAATACGGTAAGCAATATTTATTTATTTCATACAGCTTTTATATTATCTTTATAGATAACTTAATATAAAAAATTATTGAAATCACTTTATTAAAGGAATTGAAATCTATAATAGGTTAATATTATTTTTTGTAATTGATACAAAATATTTTTTTAAATTATTACATTACAGTTATATACATAAAAAATGTGGATGGGTTTACTGGTTGCTATCGTGGTCTTATTCCAAAATTGTGTGCTTATACTGTAAGTGCTACAGCTTTTGAAAAGACTTCTAAATCAATTAAGTTTAAGGATGAACCAAGCAAAGATGATTTAGAAGAAAGGTAAATGTATATATATACGTATTTGTATGTATAACATGACATTTCTAAATGAAACTTATAAAAATAAATCCACATTTTTTTTGTAGTCAAAAGCGTAAAAAATGTATATATGAATTTATAAGAGACCTGATTAGTAGAATGATTGGAATTATAATTAGTCATCCATTAGACGTTATTGCATTAAGGATGATGGCACAATTTGTTGGTGGAGAAACAAAATACAAGTATATAACCAATTAAGCAATGAAAATACATATTTTGACATTAATCATAAATGCATTATTTTTATAGTGATTTTCTTTTTTTTCTGCATTAATAGTGGATTATTTAGATCATTTGTAGAAGTATATAAAGCAAATGGAATTATGGGATACTATGCAGGATTATTGCCACGCTTGATTGGAAATGCTGCTGGATTAGTGATAGTCAGTTCATCTACTTATGCTATTGATAAATTCATTAAAAATGATCGTGAATTAAGACCATATGCTGTTTCCACTATAAAGGTAAATAAATTAATTATTTAAATACAATATATTTATCATAATCAGTATTATCATACAATATTAATATTTTACAGTTTATAGCAACAACAATTACATATCCATTTTTAGTGATTTCACATTGTATGGCAGTTAATAACTGCGGGTAAGTTAATTTAAAATACAAAAAGTTTTTTATTTGTTTTAAACTAAATAGTAATTTAATAAATTTTACTTATCAAGGTTGATTGCTGGTCTTCCTCCACAAATGCCAATTTATAACAGTTGGTTGGATTGTTTATCTCATCTTTGGTCTACCAACCAGTTAAAGAGAGGAAATAGTCTCTTATGGCGTTATTATACTGGACCACAAGTGTTAATTAATGGGAAGCTAATACCACTTAACAAATATAATTTCCATTTGCAAAGTACAACATAGTAAAAGATATTGCATTTCCTTGTATTTGAAAGACTAATAGTAAAATCACTTTTGTGGTATATACTTTTTACTCAAATTTACTCCAAAAAATTTACTCCAATATTGTTGCATTTATATATTCCTTTATATTGATCCTACTTGTTATTATAGCAAATATTAACTAAAGTATTTTTTCTTTGGTACTATATTTTATCAAAAACTGTAATTCAGATTGAGAACAAGCATTCAATACATATACAAGTATTAATGAATATGGTTACTATTATTAGCTTGCCAATTAACATTGTGTATCATGCACAATAATTACATTTAAATTATCATTTAAATAAAAATATTAACTTAAAAAAAAATAAGCTTATGATAATAATAACCATGATGATGATAATATAATAGTAATAAAAGTAGTTATATAAATAATTTCTTTACATCTGTATTACATTTGACAATAGTAGCTCAAACACAGAATTATAAAATATGCCTTATGTATAAAGTGTATAAATTGGTATTGCATCACTTTCAAATTCTAATTTTATATAGAATAACTGTCTCCTATAAAAAATAATTCTTACAGTATTTGTTTATATATCTACTGTGAAACCAGATAAATATAAAATAAAATAAAGTTATGCAAATAATATTCATTCTAGATAGTAAATCTATCTGTAGATCTATTTGTAGACTTTCATCTGCTAAAGAATTATATGTATGTAATTTTATCTTACTGCAATAGTGATTCTATAATTTTTTAATGCAAATTAAGAAGTTATCTTTAATAAAAAAAAAAAGTGAATTCTTATTTCACAGTCTCTATATATTTGTCAAATAAAATTTAAAAATCAGTATTAAATGATAATAAATAAAATTCTTGAAAATAAATATTTGATGTACTATTTTAATTATTTATTATTCATTTATTTAAAGTCGCATCAGCTTATATTTCGCCATTAGCGACCCCATTACATTACAATAATAATCAAAATTATTTATTATTTTGATAGTTTCAATTTACAACGTGATTGTGTCATCAGGCATCAAGAAGTTTACATAAGTATTGCATTATCAGATTTTATCTGTTTTTCTAAACATCCTACTAAAATACTACACTGAAGCCTACATTATGTAGTACATTCTTTCGATTTTTATATAAAAAAGAAAAATATCGACATGAAAAACATTTTTAAATACACATGTCTCATCACATACTACATTTCGACTTTGATTATATGTAGTGCAATAAAATGAATGTGAATATTGAACAAAATCATGAATGCATTTTTCAAACATATGAAACTTTGTACTGAAAGAATTTAAATGCTATTTTATTTTATAATTAATAAAGAATCATTTTTCATTAATAATAATAAAATTATTTATTTGTAACTTATGTTCCAGTCTACAGTAAAGTATTGCTTTAAGAATAAAGGAAACATCAGTTTCTAAATTTAATGCTTCTATATATTATAGCTATAATGTCTAGACATTATAAAATTTTTTTGTGGTTTTCTACTCTAATTTCTTTGTATTAAATATTATTTTTGGTTTAAATCTATTACTTATATATTTACTTGTGAATAAAGTTCAATTCTATTTTATTGTTTTCTTGGAGTATTAAAATGTTTAATTTTTAAAATACTTTAATGCATATATTTATAAAAAATAAGTTAAAAAATGAATTGGTAAATTTGAAATGATACATTATAACCAAAACCATAAGAAACGAAAAATAACGTTTAAATTCTTCATGAAGACAAAATATTAAAATTTACTGACTTCAGTAATGTTACATATTGCATTATTACTACCAAATAATTAAAGGCGTTTGTGACGTTTTTTAATCAGCGAATATCTATTACTTATTTTTAACTTAATACGTAAAAATATTTTAATAGACATAGCAGTCCAAATACAAATAAGCCTAAAAATTGACAAAGTGTTTTCCTTCATTTTAATGCAAATTAAAGGAATGTATTTTTCGAAGGTAAATTTCTATAATTTTCTCCCCCTTTTTTTTTTTTTGTTTTTTTTTTGTTTTTTTGTTTTTGCTATAACGCTAAATTTTTTCTTGCATCTATACAATTCCATGTATTTCAATATTTTATGTATAAAGTAATCATGCTATTTTATTTCAATTTCTTAAAAATTTAATTTCATGCAACCACAAGAAGGTATCGCTATAGAACTGTACATTTTTTGGTTGATCTTCTTTACAAAGCAATAAAGATTCAAACCATTAACATTTAATATTTATTTAACAAATATTATCTTATCCTATTAGATATAACAAGTGATTGCTATCAAGTTTATATTATCACGGTAATAATTAGTAAGTTTTGTAACCTATATACACTGAGGAATACTGTATGTCCAGGAATGTTTTACAAAACCAATTAAGTATAAAGCATGTTTCAATTGTAGGTATTTTAATCTAAAATATGTCTTTGTACATTTAAATAATAAATATGCAGCATATTAGAAGACTGTTCAGTGTTCACATTCCTTGGCAAAAGATTCTGACAGATATCTTGCAAGTTTTCCATTCAGGAATCTGTTTCAAGTACCATGTAATAAAAAAATTACCTTTTCTCTTTAAATACTATGTATATACAACAATACATATGTCATAAAATATCATAAACATCATAAAAAAAAAAGAAAAAAAATGGAACTTAAAATAAATAAAGTACTAATATTACTGTGGCAGTATAGTACTTAACTTATTAATAAAAAGTAACTTCTTTTAGAAGAAATAATCATTATCATATGAATTGCCATATGAAATCATATAAATGTCATTAACTTATAATTGTTCTCAAAATAAGTAATTAATAATGATCTAAACTATACATTTTAATCTTTTTAGAATTTTCTTGTATAATATGAAAATTCTGATCTGTTGAAAATTTGTGTCGAAAATGGAAAATGTTAGTCGATTTTATGTTGAACAATTTTAAATATTTTGACATACAAAATATAAATATCTGTTATAAGATTTTATAATCAAATAATAATTTGAGTATATGCTGTTTTCAAAAATTTGTATACAATAACACTTTAAAACAATATCTTTTAGTATCAATCTGTATGATTACTAAAAGAACAAATTTTCATTAATGTAAATTCTCCTTTTTGTCTATGTTATAAAGAATACCTATAATGCAAAATTATTAAATTTTTAAACACTTCTAGAGTATGGAACTTTATGTATACTTTTCAATAATGTATGCAATAGTTATAGAAATCTTCAGAGAACAGTTATAGAAATCTAATACACAATACTGAAAATATAATAATGATTATTCAAAGGATTTTATATGCTTGTAGTAACAAAAATATCGTTTTTTTCTTTAGTATTACATTTACTATGGAAAATTGACTCATATTTCTATATATATGTGTAATAGCCAATTTTTTAATATACTCCAAAATATTTTGTATATCCTGTTTATCAGAGGGAGGGATTTAAAAACACATATTTTAGAAATTATCTACACATTATGCTTAACGTTTACATACCTATTCATAATGCTATTTTGTCTTACATTTGTATTAATATTCACATAATAACTTGAAATTTCTTTTTCGATAACTATTAAATATTACAAATAATTTTAGCATATAATTTGTTTTTATTCTGCATAAAGTTCCATCATCTTATTATTTTTACCATTCTTTAAAATATAATGCATTCCTTGATGCATAACAAATATTATGCAGTTATCTTTAGAATTACTCGACAAGTTCGTTATTTAAAATATCGTTGATCGTACGATTAGCATTATTATATATTGAAAATGATAATTCTCTACTATATGTTTTAAATTAGTTGTTTGACTATAAACGTAAATTAGGCCATCGCAACAGTGCAATAAGTTTCGTTCGATACGAATGGTTACACTTATTCATAATTAGTGCACGTAACATACACAGTTTTTTATTTGAGAGAAAAATTGTTAAATTTACTTTAATTTCTCGATTACTTATTTCGAGGGAAAGGTAATTGTATGTATATGCACAATATTTGAACATTCATTATTCATTCCTCATTTCTACCGTAATTACCGTTTGTTTTCACTATTACCTTTCTATGTACATTGCAATGTAGATATAGATAAAACTGTTATATTTTTTATCTAAATCTTCGTTTAATACTCACTGCAATGTCATGAATCATTTTCTGCATCATAAAATATTATAATTATTAAATGAACAAATTAATTATTTCAAGTCTAATTCGACTTCTGGATTCTCTAATGAAAAAGGTTTCAGATTTTCCACTATCGGCGTTTGATCAGGATCAACTCGTATGCGGATTCTATTGGTTTCTAAAGACCGCGGAAGTGTACGTGGAAGATCGTCTTTGTATGAACCAGACATAAGTGAAGTATATGGTACATAAATTCGTACAACATCTGGACTTGGTTGATGAGATGTTGCTCTAGGTGTGGGTAAACCACCACTACCAGAGCTGGCATTAGAAATATTACTTTGAGTATCAAGACTATTGTCTAACGCTTGAGACCGTGTCGCCGAACTAAATACAGAAAGGTCAGCTGTTGATGTAACAGATGTATCTGCCAATGACCGGCGCGAGCCATTGGGAGAGGCCCCATCGTCAAGACTTGGATCAAATGAGAATTTGCTTCCTGCACATATATGTAATTTTTATTATACTGTAACAGGATATTAGAACAAACGTGTTTTGACAGAATACTTTCACATAGTAAGTGTAATACATTTGATTTAAAATCATCTATAGAAATATCTCAACATTTCCTTTGGAAATGAAATATTAATTAATGGTAATTAAATTTAACATGATGTTTGCAATTTAATATTGCTACTATGTAACAAGAATATTTTACAATGTACTGATGTATTACCGTTTTTGGTTATATTTTTTATATGAATTTTCCTGAGTATTCTAAAGTAATCACAGTCTATTACTCCTTATTTTTTATTTCATAAAAAATGATCAATGAAAATTCTTCATACATTTTTAAAGATAAATATAGTTTCACTTTAATAATGCTAAATTTATAAAAAAAGTTACTTATGATTATATAGTAATAAATATAATACTTCAAAATATGGCTTATATAATATTTTTGTAAAATTCTATCTATGTATCTATGTATCTATGTATCTATCTATCTATCTATCTATCTATCTATCTATCTATCTATCTATCTATCTATCTACCTACCTAGCTACCTAGCTACCTACCTACCTATCTACCTACCTATCTATCTATCTATCTTATCTATCTATCTTATCTATCTATCTATCTTATCTATCTATCTTATCTATCTATCTATCTATCTATCTTATCTATCTACCTACCTACCTACCTACCTACTTACCTACTTACCTATCTACCTACCTACCTACCTACCTACCTACCTACCTACCTA